GTGCATGGGCTGCCACGCAGCTGAATCCTGGTCCTGAGGGCCAGCTGCAACAGCCAGCCCTGGCGGCGGCGGTGGAGGCGGTGTAGGCGGCGGAGGCGGTGGCGCAGCCGGAGCAGCAGCTTGCTTCGGCTGCAGCGTCACTGGAATCCTTGACCCAGTCGCAGCCTGCAGTGAAGGCTGCTGCTTCGGCGCAGGCGCAGGGCGTGAAGGCTCCGGCGGCAAAGGTCTTGAAGGCTGCGTGGGCATTTGCTTGGGCTTGGGCTTGGGTGCAGCTGGACGCCAAGTGCCCCAGGATTCGTCGTCGTCCTCCTGCTCCTGAGTCTCCTGAGCCACTGTTTTGAAAGTCATGTTTTATCAACAATGACAAGCCAATGACATGTTTTATCAACAAACTTTCAGCCAAATGAAAAAACACTGCCCCTGTCTCCGGTCTTCTGACTCAGATCCCCAGTCTGGCACAAATGCAGGATCAGCAGGGTCAACACCTCCAGGTTGAGGGCCACCACAGAAAACCAGGAGCTGCAGCAGCCTCGTCAGGCGAGGACTCCACCTCTTCAGCTGCTGCATTGCCGTCAGCAGTGCGCTGGCGCGTCTTGCGGGCGTTCAAGTCCACATCCAGCAGATTCTGCTCTAGGATCGCGATGTCCTCGTCTGCGTCGGATTCCTCGTCGTGGTCGTGCTTGTCTCTGCGGATGATTTTGTGCGACTGCATGACACGGTCCAACCCATACTTGTACACATACCTCGAGTAGGGCGTGATGCTCAACTTCTGCAGGTAATACATCCATATTACGGTTTGCATTACCTGTTCCACCTCCGTTTGCTCTAGGGATGGAACTGAGCTGCTTTCGGCGAAGCCCTTGGTTTCCCGTGCGTGGACATAGCTTGCCCATGATAGGTTCGTCTGCGCCCAAGACACCACATCAAAGCTTTCGCCGCTTTCCCTTGTTTCTCTCGCCTGCTGCCACATCAAGCGCAAGCAGCGCCTCTCATAGTTTTGAACTTGTTTTGCGTGGTTGGCCTTCCGCTTGTTTTTGGGCGGGCGAATGCGGACAGCTGCTTCAGCCATCCGCCTGTCATCCAGCCAGCTTTGGTGCTGGTCCTGCTGGCCTCTGTCATCATTAGCCCAGCTTTGGCCCCAGTCTTGGCCCCAGCTTTGTTGGCCCCATTGTTGGCTCCAGTCTTGGCTCCTCTGGCTCCAGCCTTGGCTCCAGCTGTCTTGGCGCCAGCTCTGCCAGTCTGAGCGTTTCCATGACATGGCGGCGACCCAGCTTGAGTCGCAAAAAGACTGGAAGCAAGTGATTGTGCACAACTGACAGCTCATGTCATGCGTGACATGCCACCCAAGCTAATGCAAGAGCAATGGGGCACAACAGCTGCTGCAAAGCCACCACCTCCACCACCACAACCACCAACAACAACAACGACAACGACAACGACAACGACAAAGACAACCACGACAGCAAACACGACGGCAGCAACCAGTCCTCCTTCACTGCGCATGTCTTCTTCTTCTTGTCCGCCATTCCGGCCAATTGGGCTGCGGGGCCCCGCGTGGCACCGCTTCATGCGTCGACATGCGGCAACGCAATGTGCCAAACCTTTACAACTCACAAACAACAACTGAAACACTGTCACAGCAAAATGGCGCCACAAAGGCTCCAAAACTACATGCAAAAACGCCGGCAGTCCGCCTACCAGCCTGGCAGGCGGACTGGGGCGATGGAAAGGCGGACTGGGAAACCCAAAAGGAGGACTCCCAGGCACCAAAGGCGGACTGGGAAACCCAAAAGGAGGACTCCCATCCCAACCGCTTTCCCACCTACCCAACCAGTCCATCATGGCTCATGTCGGTGCATGCTTTCCCCTCATGCAACCTCATAACAGACATCACTCAACGCGGTTCGTGTGACGCCAGAAACAACAAGCGTCAGAAGTACGAGTTGTCACTGTTTTCCATGACATGGACAATGACTAAAACAACCAGCAAAAATATGGATCTCCACTGCTTCTCTTCCATTTGTGGTATGACAACATCAAGAGTACAGAATTGTCTCCACTGTTTCTTTTCCCTTTGTGGAATAGCAGGCCCGTAGCGCTTCCCTTCCTGCCTGCAGCTATTTTTGCTTGCGCAGCTTACTTAGCTTACACAGTGGCTTCTGTAGTTCCTGCCCTGCATGTCGCACAGCGGTGAAGTTACTGAGCATCACTTGACCAAGCGGCTTCGCATGATTGAAGGAACAAGGAAGACGGAGGATTACATCTACTACAAGTTGCGCAAGACGGATGACATGCCGGACACTCCAAAGCCTGAAGCAGGCAACAAGGCAAACTGGGAAAGACGCGCGTTCGCTTGGAAAAGTGCCATGAGAGAGGTTTCCTTATTACGTTGAGCTGGCTGAAGCAGCTGGCGCTGGCTAGGCGAGGGGGCATGTGCTTTGAACATATGCCCAACCCGCTGCGATCATGCAGTCATGCGTTCTTAGGTTTAGCTCTAGGTGTTTGTCGTGGAAAAAGGCGTGACCTGATGATAAATTATAATGACATGATAAATGTAAATCTTATAACTGTTATATGATATGATACAGTGTTATATGATGTTATATGAAACAAAATGATGTGATATGTTGTAATAATATGATACGATATGGCATGAAATGATGCGACATGTTTGGAGACATGTTTGGACATGGTGTGGAGTGGTGGTATGAAATGGTAGTATGATCTGATGACATATTATCATGTGACACGGTTAAGCTTTATGATAAGGCAAAGTAAGATATCGTGGTATCATTGGATAGACAACCAGAAAAAGGAGCAACCCGAGAAGCCCAGAAAGCCAGCAACCTGGCAACCAGCTAACCACACCCCAGATACCATTCCAGTGGCATTCCAATACCATTCCAGCTACCATTCCAGCTAAATTCCAATACCATTCCAGCCACCATTGCAGCGGAATTCCAATACCAGAACTCCATTACCAACGGAATTCACACCATCCAGCCAAGGGCCCCTAGTTGGGGCTCCCACTGCCCCTCCCACAAATAAAGAAAAGTAGATGGCGCAATTTCACGCGCAAAGAACTTGCCCGCATTGCCCCTCCCACACACAAAGAAAAGGCCCAGGCTTCGACACTGCGTGACTACACTTCCCCCGCTGCCTATGAGACAATGCCAGCACTACTTGCCTGGCTCAGGCACTGCCCTCCCGCAAATGAAGAAAAGTGCTGGTCGCACCCATGCTTCGAAAAACCGACTCTTGGCTTGGAAGGAAACGCCAGGCTTGACGAGGCTGCTGCCTCAATCAGCCCTGCCTGGCTTCCCTTTCTTTCTTTGTATATACGTTTCAACAGTGGCCTTAGGCACAGTTGGAGATGCCAAGCATGTTACAGTGATATGTTTCCTCGGCATCGTCGGAGACAGGGGATGCTACGATGATGATACTTCGCTTATCATCATCATGGTCATCGCTGCTGAAGATTCTGGCGACGCGAAGTGATGATTATCATCATCGCTGCTGGAGATGCTGGGGATGCGTAGCGATGGTCATCATCATGACGATCATCGCTGCTGGAGGTGCTGCGGATGCGTAATGACCTGCTAGAGACGCTGGGGATGCGTAGTGATGGCTGTCATCAAGGCAATCACCATCATGATTGCTGCTGGTGATGTCGATGGTCAACATCATCCTTTTCTTTCTCAATATTTGCATTTCAAGTGCTGGAGATGCTGGGGATGCGTAGTGATGATTGTCAGCATCATGATCATCGGATCATCGGTTATCGTCACGGCAATCACGATCATGACTGCTGCTGGTGATGCTGATGGTCAACCCTCCAGCTGAGCACGATCACGCTGCGGTCCGGCACCACGATGATGAGTATCATCGTAGCATCCCCTGCATCTCCAACGATGCCAAGGATACGTATCATCGTAGCATCCCTTGCATCTCCAACCTAAGGCCATGTATATTGTAAAGAGATAAAGAGAAAAATGGATGATGATCACCGAAAGCAGTCATGACAACAATCATGATGATGACGATGACACTAAAAATGATGATTCTGCCGATGCGTAGTGATGATTATCATCATCGCTGCTAGAGATGCTGGGGATGCGTAGTGATGATTATCATCATGATCATCGTTGCCGGAGATGCTGGGGATGCGTAGTCGCGCTGCGCCAGTGTAATCGTGCCTCGCAATGGTTGACTTGCTCCAAGGCCTCCGGGCAGGTCAACCTGTAATGGATCCTCGGCATCGTTGGAGATGCAGGGGATGCTACGATGACACTTCTCATCCTCATCCTCATCATTATCATCATCATCATCATGGTGATCCTCATTCTTGGCATCATCGTCATCATGATTGTTATCATGACTGCTGGTAATGCCGTCAGCATCACCCTGAGGATCCATTACCAGCCCGGAGGCCTCCGAGCAACCGGTTGACCTACCCGGAAGCCTCCGGTGGCACGGCGCGGTCCGGCAACCCACAATGATAAGTACCTGCATGTCCAACGATGCCAAGGTATCCTTGACAGAGGGCCCCAAACACCGATTTGGGGCAAGGTGAAATCAACCATTGCCAGCTTTCCGCCCCCCATGCCCAATCAGTCCAAAACAAACCAAGACAGCCGACCCTTTTCTGGGGTCGCGGCACTGGGCGGCAGCCCTTAAATATGCTGAAAGAAAACGCGCACGTTGCATACCATTGTGGCTACATTTGCTGGCTCAGGATTCAGGGTGTGCCCCGTGGTTCGTGACCTCATTGTATAGCTAGAGTATGTTCGGGGCTCCCCATCCACTTCCACTCTTGAGCCGTTGGCATTAAGATGAGATCGGAATGGAACATGTTTGGTATCAGGCTCAATCAAGTGGTCAAAAACTGAGATGATTCACACCCTGGCAGACTGTAGTTGTGGGTGCTCAACATGAGCTTGAAGCTGGCTAACGCAGAGTTCCGACCGCTGGATGTTACCAGCCACACGTTTGGCCCAAGCCTTTGCCCCCGCAAGCTGAGCATCATCCTGAGCTCTGAATGTTCAAGGCAGAACATGGCCATGTGTCTCACAGAGCGTGGCGCGCCTGCGGCATTCGCGACTTGCAAAATGGAGTTGCGCTGTCTCAGCGACGCTGCTCCACCGCAAGATTTTACCGCGTGATCTTGCTGTGCTGCGCTGATGTTGGAGCAGCTTTAACATTTGCTCTGCTCTTAGGGCGCTTTTGAAAAAAAGCCTTCCAGCGCTGATACATGGCATATCAGCCACAATAGCCTAGGTAGGCTGCAAGATGCCTGCACTTCAGGCGTCGTTGAGTATGTTATGTTTCTAACCCACTCCTGAATATCATGATGTCACACGACAATCATATTCTGACCTACCGCGTGTGTGGAAGATCAACTGTATCCTTGTTCTTGAATAGTTCGTGATGCATCGTGTACCGTATGCGCCATCTGAAGAGCCATGTTGCTTTCTGCATCTTGCTTGCGCTACTTGAGCACGATCAGCACTCAACTGACGACTTGATGCATCTATTCCAGTGGCCCCATTGCTCAAATTTGATGAAGGGCGTCTGCAATCTATGCAAAAGATGTACGGTGATCGGAGAAGCCGAGTGCCACTCAAGCTGACTTTTCCGTCGAATGCACGCGTACATCTTGCAAAGAAAGATGATAAAACTGCTCCAGGATTGAGTGCACTTAGGGCACAAACAAACAGCAACAGCAGATGCTCAATGCACTTGTTGCTGTCTATGTGAGAAATGCTTTCCTCGCGTCACTCCTGCTTCATGCGGTCTTGTGCGCAACGATCAGCTTGGTCATTCCTGCAGATTGTCATAGCACAGGAATCGCAAGCTGACAGACAGTGCAGAAGGACACAGCTCAAAGTGCCTTGAATCATCTCAAAGGTCTCACACTTTGGCGTATCGAAGCCCGCTTGACCCATTCGTTGAATGACCTAGGATGCCGCTGAGGAAGCATACACCAAATAGTTAGACGGCTGCATGCTAAGGTACCCTCCCACACCCCCAAGGCTAAGCCGGCTAAGCTTCTTGGCGTCTTGCCAGCAACTACGATTGCAAATAAGCGCTTGGCTTCCGCAGGACACAAGCCGAGCCCTTGTGCATTCACGGTCACGTGCTGCAGGCCTCCAGTGGCAAGTCACCCACCAATTACCAAGGCAGCTGGCTGGGAAGTGTGCTCCAGCCTACACAAATATATGGTGCATATATGGTTTGCGGTGTCTGATCTTGCTTCACTGCTTGAACGGTCTGCCCCTGTCTTTATCTTTGGACTGTTTGCTTGCTTTTTTGAAGCTCCTTGACTCCTCCTTGATGAGTTTCATGCTTCTGCTCCTGGGTTGTGTCTGCTGTTTGGCTGGCGCTTGTCACACTCACTTGCAAATCCTTTGGGGTATCTCTTGCTATGCAGGGCAAGCAGCTGCTCCGTCGCTCAGCTGAGCGAGACGCGATGTTCAAGGGCAAATGCGCCATCAGCCGAGCTAGTGCTAGTTCAACAAGCAACACAAACGGAAAAGAAGCTTGTGAGCTGTTGCAATTGAAACCACCTCAGCCATAAATCCATCGGCGCTAGTCGAGCGCCAGCGTGTGGTCAGCGCAGGCTTGGGAGAGCAGGTTTCCCACCACAACTCGTTTCAAAGCCGAAGGCTTTTGAGACCAGCATGTTGACCTTGGCCTTATAATGTGGAAATAACCAGTGTTTTGCGACTCAAAACCTGCATTTCGCCAAGGCCTCCCCTCGACCCAGGTTTTATACCAGCCTTTGCACTTTTGATCCTCTGCATCATCAAAGCCGGTGTTGATAATGTGCATTTTCTCAGTACTGATCGTATGGATTTTCTCAGTACCTGCTTAGCAGCTGAGGCTTGGCAGTTTGGGCTCTTTGAGCCAAGTTGGACTCTGGGGTGCTGGAGCGTCGCTTCGAGGCAAAACGGGGCCTTGGAACCACTACATGCATGTTTTCCTTTGATTCAGCACACAATCTCTCAAAAGCATCCCCAGCAACATCATATTTCCTCGCGCTTAACTTGATTGTCTCGCGGGTGGTGTGTGTGTGTGGTGTGTGTGTGTGTGGTGTGTGTGTACTGTGTGCTGTGTGCTGTGTGCTGCGTGCTGTGTGCTGTGTGCTGTGTGCTGTGTGCTGTGTGCTGTGTGCTGTGTGCTGCGTGCTGTGTGCTGTGTGCTGTGTGCTGTGTGCTGTGTGCTGTGTGCTGTGTGCTGTGTGCTGTGTGCTGTGTGCTGTGTGCTGTGTGCTGTGTGCCTGTGTGCTGTGTGCTGTGTGCTGTGTGCTGTGTGCGTGTGCTGTGTGCTGTGTGCTGTGTGCTGTGTGCTGTGTGCTGTGTGCTGTGTGCTGTGTGCTGTGTGCTGTGTGCTGTGTGCTGTGTGCTGTGTGCTGTGCTGTGTGCTGTGTGCGTGTGCCTGTGTGCCGTGTGCTGCGTGCTGCGTGCTGCGTGCTGCGTGCTGCGTGCTGCGTGCTGCGTGCTGTGCGCTGCGTGCTGCGTGCTGCGTGCTGCGTGCTGGGTGCTGGGTGCTGGGTGCTGGGTGCTGCGCGCTGTGTGCTGTGTGCTGTGTGCTGTGCGCTGTGCGCTGTGCGCTGTGCGCTGTGCGCTGTGCGCTGTGCGCTGTGCGCTGTGCGCTGTGCGCTGTGCGCTGTGCGCTGTGCGCTGTGCGCTGTGCGCTGTGCGCTGTGCGCTGTGCGCTGCGCGCTGTGCGCTGCGCGCTGTGCGCTGTGCGCTGTGCGCTGCGCGCTGTGCGCTGTGCGCTGCGCGCTGCGCGCTGTGCGCTGTGCGCTGTGCGCTGCGCGCTGCGCGCTGCGCGCTGTGCGCTGTGCGCTGTGCGCTGCGCGCTGCGCGCTGCGCGCTGCGCGCTGTGCGCTGCGCTGCGCGCTGCGTGCTGCGTGCTGCGTGCTGCGTGCTGCGTGCTGCGTGCTGCGTGCTGTGTGCGGTATGCTGCGTGTGGGTGTGTGTGTGTGTCTGTCTCTGTGTGTGTGTCTGTCTCTGTGTGTGTGTGTCTGTCTCTGTGTGTGTGTCTGTCTCTGTGCGTGTATGTCTGTCTCTGTGTGTGTGTCTGTCTCTGTGTGTGTGTCTGTCTCTGTGTGTGTCTCTGTGTGTGTGTGTTTGTGTTTGTGTTTGTGTTTGTGTTTGTGCTTGTGCTTGTGCTTGTGCTTGCACTTGCGCTTGTGCTTGTGCTTGCGCGTGTGCTTGTGCTTGCGCTTGTGCTTTTGCTTGCGCTTGTGCTTGTGCTTGTGCTTGTGCTTGCGCTTGCGCTTGTGCTTGTGCTTGCGCTTGCGCTTGCGCTTGCGCTTGTGCTTGTGCTTGTGCTTGCGCTTGTGCTTGTGTTTGTGCTTGTGCTTGTGCTTGTGCTTGTGCTTGCGCTTGTGCCTTTGCTGGCGCTTGCGCTTGCGCTTGTGCTTGCGCTTGCGCTTGCGCTTGCGCTTGCGCTTGTGCTTGTGTTTGTGTCTGTGCTTGTGCTTGTGCTTGTGCTTGTTGCTGTTGCTTGTGCTTGCGCTTGTGCTTGTGCTTGTGCGCTTGTGCTTGCGCTTGTGCTTGTGCTTGTGCTTGCGCTTGCGCTTGCGCTTATCCTTGTGCTTGTGCTTGTGCTTGCGCTTGCGCTTGTGCTTGTGCTTGTGCTTGTGCTTGTGCTTGTGTTTGTGCTTCTGTTTGTGTTTGCGTTTGTGCTTGTGTTTGTGTTTGTGTTTGTGTTTGTGTCTGTGTTTGTGTTTGTGTTTGTGTTTGTGTTTGTGTTTGTGTTTGTGTTTGTGTTTGTGTTTGTGTTTGTGTTTGTGTTTGTGTTTGTTTTTGTGTTTGTGTTTGTGTTTGTGTGTGTTTGTGTTTCTGTTTCTGTTTGTGTTTGTGCTTGTGTTTGTGCTTGTGCTTGTGCTTGTGCTTGTGCTTGCGCTTGTGCTTGTGCTTGCGCTTGTGCTTGCGCTTGCGCTTGCGCTTGCGCTTGTGCTTGTGCTTGCGCTTGTGCTTGTGCTTGTACTTGCGCTTGCGCTTGCGCTTGCGCTTGTGCTTGTGCTTGCGCTTGCGCTTGCGCTTGCGCTAGCGCTTGCGCTTGCGCCTGCGCTTGCGCCTGCGCTTGCGCTTGCGCTTGCGCTTGCGCTTGTGCTTGTGCTTGCGCTTGTGCTTGTGCTTGTGCTTGTGCTTGTGCTTGTGCTTGTGCTTGTGCTTGTGCTTGTGCTGTTGCTTGTGCTTGTCCTTGCGCTTGCGCTTGCGCTTGTGCTTGCGCTTAAGCTTGCGCTTGCGCTTGCGCTTGCGCTTGCGCTTGTGCTTGCGCTTGCGCTTGTGCTTGTGCTTGCGCTTGCGCTTCGCTTGCGCTTGCGCTTGCGCTTGCGCTTGCGCTTGTGCTTGTGCTTGTGCTTGCGCTTGTGCTTGTGCTTGCGCTTGTGCTTGTGCTTGCGCTTGTGCTTGTGTTTGTGCTTGTGCTTGCGCTTGTGCTTGTGCTTGTGCTTGCGCTTGCGCTTGCGATTGTGCTTGCGCTTGTGCTTCTGCTTGCGCTTGTGCTTGTGCTTGTGCTTGTGCTTGCGCTTGCGCTTGCGCTTGTGCTTGTGGTTGTGCTTGTGCTTGTGCTTGTGCTTGTGTTTGTGTTTGTGTTTCTGTTTGTGTTTGTGTTTGTGTTTGTGTTTGTGCTTGTGCTTGTGTTTGTGTTTGCGTTTGTGTTTGTGTGTTTGTGTTTGTGTTTGTGTTTGTGTTTGTGTTTTTGCTTGTGTTTGTGTTTGTGTTTGTGTGTGTGAAGTGTGAAGTGTCTGTGTGTGAAGTGTGTGCGTGTGTGTGAAGTGTGTGCGAAGTGTGTGTGTGTGTAAAGTGTGTCAGAAGTCTGTGTCAAGTGTGTGTGTGTGAAGTGTGTGTGAAGTGTGTGTGAAGTGTGTGTGTGTGTGAAGTGCGTGTGAAGTGTGTGTGTGTGTGTGAAGTGTGTGTGAAGTGTGTGTGTGAAGTGTGTGTGTGTGTGAAGTGTGTGTGTGTGTGTGAAGTGTGTGTGTGAAGTGTGTGTGTGTGTGTGTCTGCGTGGGTCTGTGTGAGTCTGTGTGAGTCTGTGTGAGTCTGTGTGAGTCTGAGTGAGTCTGTGTGAGTCTGTGCTGTGTGAGTCTGTGTGAGAGTCTGTGTGAGAGTCTGTGTGTGAGTCTGTGTGTGGGT